GAAAATTGTTAGCTATGGAATGTCAAAAGCAGAAACCACAGGAGAACAGGAAAGATTTCTGTGAACAAACAATACTGCTCACTGCAACAGTAGAAAGATTTCCCTGTACTGAAAGGTCAGAGAAAGAGGGAGAAAAGTGTTGAGGGAGAAAGATTAGTACCGCCAGGAACAAGGAAAACTACCTTAAAGACTATGTGTCCAGGAAGAGAATCAGTATCTATGGACTAGCCAGCCTGTACTTGACCTGCACTCCAGCCACCACTACCAATCTCAGACACTTGGAGAAATTGAGCGAACTCTGCCTGCAGCTCATTTGGAACCCATTCCATAAAGGATTTTATGCCTGCAAAACAAGCAGCAACTCTATTAGATCCTCCTTGTTGAATTCTCCATCTTTCAGGAACCTAAATCCTCCATGTATTCCAGCAAAAAGGAGAAAAGAAGAGATTTAGAAGATCGTGTGGAAGATTTGGTGGGCCATGCCTGGGCTACCCCATTTATCCACACTCCCATTTATCTCTTCTACCATATTCTATCAGAAAGCTCTGCTACATGGCCCCACCTAACTGTAAAAGAGGATAGGAAATACAGTTTACGTAAATGCTCAGGAAGACAAGAAATGCAGATTTTATGAGCATATAGCAGTGTGATATATCACAGATGCCATATCAGTATAGTGTGCCCAACTAAAAGCAGCTTCAACAATAATGACATTACTGTTTCATAAAGTTCAGATTTGAGAGGTAGGTGACTCAGTGACAATAGGTACCTGAGTGGGATTTTCTGTAATTTTTATGGCTATCCCCTCGTGTTTGAAAGACAGTTGTCATAGCTGTAGGCATTACACCTTCCACCATCTACCTTCAAAGACAAGAAGGAAGGGGTCAGGGTTTTTTACCATGAGCCACTCCCTTTTTATCAAAGAGGAAAATATTTGCCAGAAGCTCCCCAGCAAACTTCCCCTTACTACTTATTTGGTGATAATCAATCACTAGAAAAGTGGAATGGAGCAATATAACCAGCTTCATTAAATCACGATTCATCTCCTGAGGCTGTGCCCAATAAAGTTCAAAACCTGAACAAAATCAGAGTTCAGCTAGCAGGAAGCAGAGAGTGATATTAGGGAGGGAACTGATGGGAACCAACAGTTTACCAGAGACAATAAGTGAAAAACACAGATGAAGAGGTGGAAATCCTTCCAAACCTCTCAGTCTTCGAAATAAGTGTGATGAGCTAAACTCACTTACTAAAAAGCAGATTCAATATTGCAAGTACAGCAAAACAGTTCTTAGACAAAAACCTTATTAAATCAGACTAAATGGAATTTAAAGCAAGCAAGTAATTAATAGAGAAAAAGTGGGAGAAAATATTTGACAATATGAAAATCCACCAAAAAATGTACAAAACATTAATTTTCACGTGACTTGTAATATAGTTTCAAAATAGATTTGCCAACTCTGTATAAATATGAGGAGAAATGGAGAAGTTCACAATCATTGTAAAATATTTCAGTCTATACCAGAAACTGGAAGATCAGACTTAAAAATAGTAAGGACAAAAAAAAATTGAATAAAATAAAGAAACTTGATTAACAGATATGCATATGAACTTGAATCCAATAGAGAATACACATTATTTTCAAGAAACACTTTTTAAATTGACTATATACCAGGTTACAATAAAATTTTAGCAACTTTAAAATGTATTCCTATGTGATCCACAAATTAAAGAGAGTATCAGAATAGAAATTATAAAACATTAAAAGTAACAATGAAAGTATAACACAGCAAACTTGTGGGATACTAATAAAACGGCATTTCAGAAAATTTGCATAGCTTCACATGCAGTTAGTTAAAAATATAAATGATTAAAAATCAGTAAGTTAAGTGTTCAATAGATACTAGAAAAAGAAAAAATTGAGTAAACCTATAAAAAAGGAAAGAGTTAATAAAGGTATGTTTAGAAAATCTAAAAAAGGAAAAATACAAAATATCAAAACTACTAAAAGAATTTATTTTCAATTATCAAATTAGCAAATCTCTGGCAACACTAATCAGGTGAACTAGCTGAGTAAATGCACAAATAAACAAATTAGAAAACAAATGAAAACATAATTAAAATAGAGGATTTTTAAATCACAGACTACCAAGACAAAATTATGGACTACTTTGTATTATTAAATGTAATTCATAAAAATATAAATTTGCTTCAAGAAAACCTGAAAACTTTAAACAATAAATTGAAACAGTAAGCAAAATTATTCTCACCCCTCTACCCAAGAAAAGAAAAATCCCAGTTCATAAGGCTTTTAAAGAAAAACTTTACCAAAACTTCAAGGATTAAATGGGAAGAGAGGGGCCAAGATGGCCAACTACAAACAGCTGCAGTGGGTGGCGCCCATCAAGAAGAATCAAAACAGCATGTGAATACTGCACTGACTGGGTAAATAAAATGTAGTAAGTGTACATACCATAGAATACTATGCAGCCATAAAAAGGAACAAGACCATGTCCTTTGCAGGGACATGGATGGAGCTAGAAGCCATCCTCAGCAAACTTACACAGAAACAGAAAACCCAACACTGCACGTTCTCAGTTATAGGTGGGAGTTGAGCAATGAGAACACATGAAAACAGGGAGGGAAACAACACACACTGGGGCCTGTCGGTGGGGTGGAGGGAGGGAGAGCATCAGGATAAACAGCTAATGCATACAGGGCTTAATACCTAGGTGGTGGGTTGATAGGTGCAGCAAACCACCATAGCACACGTTTACCTATGTAATAAACCTGCACATCCTACACATGTATCCTGGAATTTTAATTAAATTAATTTTTTTAAAAAGAAGGATTAAATGAATTCCCATTCCATAGAAGCTCTTTTAGGGATGAGAGAGAGAAAAAAAAAATCATGGCATAGGAGATAGCTAATTTTTTTTTTAAAAAAAAAAAAAAGAAAAAGAAAAAATGGACAACGATAATGTAAGAAAAAAACTATGCCCTGATTTTATTTGTGAATAGTCATAGAAATCCTAAATTTCTTCATAGCAAAGTGAATTCAACAATTTAGTGAAAGAAAGTAATGGTAAAATGAGGTTTATTTCAGGGAGGTCAGGATGGTTCATCATCTAAAAACCTATGATGCATCACATAAAATTAACAACTAAAGGAATGAAATAATCTGAATAGATGCATCAAACCCACAAAAAAATCAATATTTATTCTTACCAATTTTTTAAAAAGTAAGTTATTTGTATGATCACTATTATTCTATATTGTACCAGAGGTCCTAGCCTGTTAACAGAAGAAAAATGCAAGTGCTGTCTAGAAATAAAAAGGAAAAAATTAATTCTTTTTAGTTGTATTTAATATGATTGAATATAGAAAAGTACAGAATACTACATAGAAATACTTATATCTGAAAATTTTCAAAAAGGTTGCTGCATGTGAAATGAAAATTTAAAATATGCATCAATAATAACCAATTCTAAAATATAATAGAAAAAATATACCATTCATGAGGAGAATGAAAAGATATCTTAAACTACATTGAATAAAAATTGTATATAACATTTGTGGAGAAAGCATTAATCATTAACCATTATTGAAAAACAAAAATAGAAAAAAAATGCTTGAATAAAGGAAGAAATATACCATGGCAATAACTACTAAACTGAAATATGTATATACTTCAGCATAGCAAGAATGTTTGGGTATATACATCTTCAAGAGAGACTCATACTGTATGGTAATAGAGGAAATTTGGATGCAATTAAAATTTCATCAAAAAGAGGATAAATTAAAAATTGGCAATTTTTTTTTAGACAGTGTCTTGCTCTCTTGCCCAGGCTGGAGTGCAGTGGCACAATCTCAGCTCCGTGTGGCTCAGTGCAATCTCTGCCTCCAGGTTCAAGCAATCCTCCTGCCTCAGCCCCACTAGTAGCTGGGATTTCAGGCATGCACCATCATGCCCGGCTAATTTTTGTAATTTTAGTAAAGACAGGTTTTCACCATGTTGGCCATGTCTCAAACTCCTGACCTCAGGGGATCCACCCACCTTAGCCTCCCAAAGTGCTAGGATTACAGACATGAGCCACCATGCCCGGCATATTGACAGAATGAACTATAATACAGTGGTAAAAATTAGTTAACTACAGATATGTTTATGACAATGGATCATCTTAAAAACCTGTTTTTTAATAAAAACAAGTTGCAAAGGAATAATAAAGAATGATGCTATGTGAAACTTTTAAGATATTCAAAACATTTTATATATTTATGTAATAGTATAAGACATGCACAGAAGTACTAAAAAAAATACTCAAAATCCGTATGTAAGGCAATGGAACAGGGGACTATGACTGTATTTGTAATCATTTTTACTTCAAAGCCAACTGAAGCAAACATGGAAAAATGGTAAGCTTAATAAAGCTGGATGATGGAAACATAGGTATGTAGCAGAGTTTGTCATGGTCTCATGTGAAATGTGGTATCCAGCCTTGGAAAAATTGTCACACAGAAGCCTAATCAATCCCAGGAGTTTGAGTATTGCTGCCTCTAGAAAAGGCTGGTAGATATCTTCAGTGCTGGTATAAAACTTTATTCACAAACCACTAAAGTGATAGATGAAAATAATAAAAAGGGCTGGGGACGGTGGCTCATGCCTGTAATCCCACCACTTTGGGAGGCAGAAGCAGATGGATCACTTGAACTCAGGAGTTCGAGACCAGCCTGACCAAAACGGTGAAAACTCGTCTCTACTAAAAAAAATACAAAATTAGCTGGGTGTGGTGATGCATGCCTGTAATCCCAGCTACTTAGGAGGCTGAGGCAGGAGAATCACTTGAACCCAGGAGGCAGAGGTTGCAGTGAGCCCAGATCACACCATTGCACTCCAACCTGGAAAACAAAAGTGAAACGCCATCTAAAAAAGAAAGAAGAGAAAGAAAAAAGAAAATGATGGATAGGTAGATTAATTTGTTAATTAAATAATATATCCAGGGAAGGTTTGAAACACAGCCTTTATTACATATGATGTTTACATGTTAGACTGAGTGCTGTTCCCTCATCTCCTTCATACCTTGGGCAGTCTGTCTGCTACTATCTCCATGGCTCTTTCTTCTCCCTGGAAGTGAAGAAAATAATTGAGGCAGAACAGGAAGAGGCAAGAAACAATATGAGCATTGCTAGTCAGTTTTAAAGCTCGAGCCATGCATACCACAGTGAGTTCATTTCCAGATCAACTGCAGCAAAATGAAGGGTCTGAAATTTCCAGGTCTCTTGGGATTGCATCAGGATCATGTTGTTACCTCTCCAAATTCCCCTTTTCCCCAAGGGCTATATCCATGGGCTGAGGTGAGTTCCCAGCTCAGGCCAAAGGCCCTTAAACTCCATACCTCTGATCTTGCTGGCACCCTGTCCTTTCAGGCCAATCCTGGCCCTTGAGGTTACACTGAGCTTTATTTGCATAGAAGAGCTCCAGGATTTCCTCTTAGAATTGAGGACAATCATGGAGACATTGAGAAAGTTCTCAGTCAATGCTCTTCACCTCATCATCTAAGCAAATGGGGGACAATTCCTCCAGAAGCACTAGGTACACCACAAGTTGATGTGGCTGCAGAGCCACCAGGTAAGCCTGTGCATCCCTGCGGCTCCTTCCCTAGGATTCCTCTGGGCCTCACAACACCGCCTCAGAACACTGCAAGTCTCAGGTCTTACCTCTTACAAGAGAAGGCCACACCATCTTCCAGTATCTTCTGGCCCATAAGTCTCAGTTGCTGTGTGAAAATCAAACAAAAGAAACATACTTCTTAGTTAATGCGATCTTTGAAATTCTCAGAACTTCCTGCAGGGGCTGGAAAGCTCAGGACAAATCCTGATGTACAGTCAAGACTTTATTAGATGCCTAGGCAAGGAACAGAAGCCCAGTTATGCCCCTCTCCATTGTTCCCTGAGCCAGTAAAGCCCCCAAATCTCCCTTACAGAGACCTAACCCTGAACTGCGGAGAGAGTACTGGCTCAGGGAAGCCACTGATCCCTCACTGGACTGAGCCCAACCCAGCTCTTGCTCACTTCCTGTCCTTTGGAATGTCCTTTGGAGAATGAAACACACAGCCTGGACATTGGCTCCAGGATCTCCTCAGGCCACGGTCTTCCCCTGTGGGCTGCTCCTCCTCCTCCTTCTTTTCTTCTAGCTTCTCTTCCTCCTCCTCCTCCTCATGGTCATCCTCTTCCTCCTCCTCCTCCTCCTCTTGGGTGCTCTCTGATTCCATGTTGCCTGTCAGCTGAGCCATGGTGAGATGAAAGACGTGGCAGCTGAAGCCCTCCCTGATCCCATACTGCACATGCTCCTGGAGGGCTTCCATGGTGGCGAACACCCGGCAGCAGGCCATGCACCTGAAGCCGTTCTCCATGGTCACCAGCCAGTCAGGTGTCTTGGCCCTGGGTCTCTCCTCAACAGCCGGTGAGCCTGTCAGGCTGTCTGACTCTGTCCTCTCCTCATGCTCTTTCTCCTCCCCACTGGGCTCACTGTCAGAAAGGAGGTTTCTGGTGGACACATCCGAGGGGGGAGTACCTACCCGCACAACCTCAGGAAGGGTCACTTCTTCCATCCTTGGCTGCTTTTCTAAAGACTCTGAAGTTTCCTCTGTCTCCCAGGAGACAGCTACACCTTTTTTCATTTGTACCTGCATATAGTATATTTTCATGCCCCTTTCCTCTTTGTTTACACACAGAGAGGACACACAAGTCTTATAGGATGAATGAGGAGACAAGGAGACATGTTGTGAGCAGGGAGGAGTCACTCCTCGTTCCTGAACTTGGACTAGGGGTGACTGAGGCTGGGGGCTGTCTTGATGTATTCTCTGGATTCCTGGAAAAGGAAATTAGAAACATGAGCAGATGCACAGGGCGTACCAGAAGCTGGGGGAACGTAAGTTGAATATGTGTGGTGCAGGAGAGAGGGACTATGGTGTGGCGCAGCTGTGTGGTGAGCTTGGTATTTGTCATTCATATTGTGGGGCAGTGATTCTAGTGTCATTTATGTGTAGGGATGTTGATGGGGTGTCTGTATCCAGGGCTGTGGAGTATGGTGGTAAGGACTACAGCCTCTGGAATGTTGGCAGCTTGTGTGTGCTATGAGGATGTGAGTTGGTGCCATCATTGATGTGTTATTTGTGAAAGGTGGGAGGTGATGTGGGAGAATGGCACTGCAGGTCATGCATTTGGGTTGTGTGTGTGCAGAGAGTGTACCTGTGGAGAGTGTGGCTGTATGTGTGAGGTGTGTGGGCTAGAGAGTCCCGCTGCAGTGCTGGAGGCCTGCGCTGAGGAACTCTTCTCTGGAAGGCAAAGGCAGAACCCAGATAGTTTTGCTGAAGGTGCTTAATCTGGTCCTATGGCACTACACTCCAAGCACAGACTTCTTTTTCTGCTCCCTGACTGCCTGACTGCACACCACGGTTCATGCTCTCCTACACTGAGTTCATATCCATGCTTTTCTAACAGCTGTGTCATCTTGCCCAGACACTTCTGCAGAGCTCTGATCACATCCAACTGCCCTGAGTTTCTTTCAGCCTCATGCTTGGATCTATGAGCCTCCTGCTTTCTACCCGAAGAGCCCTGCACCCCAAAAGTCCCATGCCTAAGGAGCCCTGCACCCAATGATCCCAGTACTCAAAGAATCCCACACCCATAGCACCCCGCACCCAGAGTCCCAGCTCAAGGAACCCCATACTCAGAAAGTCTCACATCCAAGGAGTCCCACACCCAAAGAGTCTCACAACTAAGGAGCCCCAAACCCATGGAGCCCCACTCCTAAAGAGTCTTAGACCCAAGCAACACTGCAACCAAAGAATCTCATGCCCAAAGAGCCCTGCACCCAAAAAGCCCCAGTCCCAAGGAACACCACACTCAAAGATTTTCATGCCCAATGAACCCCGCAGCCAAGGAGCCTCATGCCCAAGGAACCCTGCACCCTTACCACCATGGATGAGCTTGTGTGATGAAGAAATGCAGGAGAAGTATTCAGAGGTAGAGGAGACTTGTCCTACCCCTTGGCTCCAGCCTTTGGCCACTCCACTGGATCCAGACTGCAGGACATCCTTTTTAGACTTTGACATTCCTGAGAAAGGTATGAAGTACACAGAGATACGGTGGATGAGGAATGTTTGTGCATCATTTATCCATCCAACAAATATTTACTGAGTGGCTGACATATGTCAGGTGTGGTGAACACACATGGTTTATGCAACTGGCTTCTGGTAGATACTCCAGAATTTAATTACCATCAACAGGTATTTTGATAATGTATTGTTAGGAATATAGGCCTGTGCGGTAACTATGAATACCTCTAAAGTGTAAGAGTGATGCATATCAGATAGCCTTTGATATGTGTAGGTTCGTGTGGGTATACTGTAGAAACGTGTCTGTGTCTATGGAGTTTGTGTGCGTAGTTTGTGTTTACAACCCTAGAATTATGCAATATGTAACTTTTCCTGATTATATGATGTAGCTTATATTTATAATGTATATTAATTCATTCATCTGGCAATATTTGATGAACAGCTATCATGTATCAGACACCAGTCCACTCTTCTAGACTCTAGGAATACTGTTAACAGTCCTTCTTGTAAGTGGACCTTCCATTCTAGACAGGGAAGACAGACACTAAGCAGAAATCTGTAAGTATATAACAGGTCAGCTCATTACGAGTATATAAGGGTCCTCAGATTTAGCAAAAATAGCTGATGGCAAGTGTATGTCCCTACAATATTTGTCATTCTTATTTCTACTGTCAGTATATTCTGTACCATATTTGGGACACACTCATACTAAAAAATCATTGGTGGCTTATCTGAAATTCGAGTTTAACTGGACATCCTGTATTTCATCTGGCAACCCTAATAAGGGGATGGTGGTGAATCTTTGTTTTGTTGTGGTCTGTGGCAAAGCAGGCCTAGCACTGCTATGCAATATGTTGCAGATATGGTATATACGATGTGTGGGGCTCTTAAAGAGGTATTTAGAGATAGTTTAAGGTAGCTGTTTTTATGTGAGAATTGAGGAGACACACACACATACACATACACCACAGCACACATGAAATCTCTGTAGGAAGAAAGGACTGTCACACACAAGGGTTGCATGAGTATGTAATAGAGGAACGGTGTATGTATAACTATATGCACTGTGTGTGGAGGTGTGTGACTTTTTTCCTGTATCAATGTATATATGGGTATATGAGTGACTGTCTCCTGGAATATCCTGAACAAAAATTCAGTATACACTGTTATGTGTATTGAGTGCTGCCCAGGCCCAGGCATGGTGACAGGAAGCCCACCCTGCAGAACCCACCACAGCACTCCCATTATCCCCAGTCCTTCTGCTCCCAACACACACACACATACACACACACACACACACACAGAGAGAGAGAGAGAGAGAGAGAGAGAGAGACAGAGAGAGAGAGAGAGAGAGAGAGAGAGAGAGAGAGAGAAAATATTCTGAAATGTAAGGGTAGCTGAAGGAGAAGAAAACCATTGCCTTCCCCTTCCTGTCTCAACCCCCTCCTCTCCAGACCTACTCTCCATGCCTCCATTCCCCGGGCTCAACCTACAGTCCTTATGACCTTGGGCCTCATAGGCCTGCTGAGCTCTTAATTGCAGCAGAAGCCTCCAGAGCCATCTGGGGCAGGCTCCTTTCTGCCCTGCTCCTTCAGGTGACCATCTCCCTTCAGAACAAAGGGCTTGTTTACACTGCACACATGCCACGATCATGCGTCTTGGAAAGGAAACTGACAGCGTAGTCTAAGGCCCCTCCCCTGTGCTTCATTTCCTCTGGGAAGTCCCACACTCTGGATTCACAAACTCTATTGGGTTAATGGGTTAATTCTTCCAGCTGAAGGAATCAAACCTCCATGGTTTCGGTATGACGCCATCCCTAAACAAGGGCTTAATCCACTTTCTAACAAGCATTTTACTTCTCAAGATATTTTTCAACAAGGCCTTTAACTCATTGGGCTATTCTTTCATTTCTGCTAAACGGGGCAGTGCAACTCATAGATGTCTACCAGAACCTTTCCACCCCCAACTCCGCCACCCCAGCGGAAGAACAAATGGAGACTCAGGCTGCATCACGGGGTCTTTGTAAGCGGGTCCCCCACCCCCGCCCCGCCCGGCCCGCCTGGGGAATCACGTCGTTGCAGGTGCAGAGGTTCTCAGAGCAGCAGAGCTGGCCGTCGGTGTGCGGGCGGCATCTGGACTTCCGGGGCCACCGCACGGCCGGGCACCCTCAAGATGGACGCGCCGGCGGCGGCCGGGGTCTCCCCTCCCTGCCGCATAGGTGGTACGTTCTCCTCGGTGCCGCCTCCCCGAAGGCGGCTCGGGCTGGCCAAGGACGCCTGTGCCCCCGACGGTTCGCCCCGCACCTACCTCCTCCCTTCTCAGCGGTTTTCTGGGACTCTTCATGTTCCAGATGTTTCCTCTTCTGTCGCCGTTTCATGGAATCGGCTAGAAGAGTTTCTAGAAGATGCTTAACGTCCAGCTCCCCCTTTTTCCTGTAGATTGGCCTTTCTTGACTCTCAGGATATTCATTTAAAAGATTCAGTAGGAATAAAAGCAGTTTTGTCTCCTAAACAGCTGAAGAACTCAGACCGCTTAGTGAACGAGCAGCACTGCCCCGAGCTCGCCACACGGCGGGGCTGTTAGGGGTCGAAGGTCGCCAGGCCCCCGGCAGATTCGCTGACCTCGATGATGACATCGCGGCGTTCAGTGGACCTACGTCCAACACAGCCCATGCAACTGCGGAGAACCCATTTTCAAGAACAATTCCTTTTTTCCAGTAGAAGTTCTCTAATGAATTCAAGTCTCCTGTATTTCAAATGTGGCAGAATATTTTGAGATGTTAACATGTTTCTGTTTAGTTTTTTTCCTTTCCCCTTTTTTTTTCACCCTTTCCCTTCTGGACTCAAGCAGGTAGCAGGCTTTGTGTTCATTGCTCAGAGGAGGGTATGGCAGGGCTGAAAGCGGCAATAGCATGCAATCATCTTGACTTTTTCTTTTCTTTTTTAGATACGGTCTCCCTCTGTTGCCCAGGCTGGAGTGCAGTGGTGTGATCATAGGTTACTTCAGCCTCAACCTCTTGGGCTCAAGTGATCCTCACACCTCAGCTTCCCGAGTAGCTGGGACCACAGGCAAGAGCCACCACACCTGGCTGATTTTTTTTTTTTTTTTTTTTTTTTTTGAGAAACAGGATCTCAATGTTGCCCAGGTTGGTCTTGAACTCCTAGCCTCAAGCTATCCTCCTGCCTCAGCCTCCCAAAGTGTGGGGATTACAGGCATGAGCCACCGCACCCCACCTGACTTTTATTTCTAAAATCTCAAACTCTACAGGAAAGAGGAAAGTTAGCAGAAAAAAAAAGAGAAGCAGGATTTTTTAAATTAGTCCTGCCCTTCTTACTCTACCACAGTGTTGAGGGGTACTGATTAGGTCAGTGAGAGACCTTCAAACTATGGATTTTAGAGGAGCCCTCTAAAATGTGGCTGGAGAGGTATATGTGGCAAAAACTTCAAGAGGGGATGGCTATATTATGCGTACAAGCAGGATCACGGAGACCTGTCTCACATATGGCATAGAGGCCACACCACCTAAAGACGTTCTGGCAACTGATCTGATGGGCATCTAAACTTCAGCTGTATGCTCCAATAAACAGAGAGTATGCTCTCAGCCCACCCTCAAAACCCCAGCCTTGTATGATTTCCAAATAGGGAGAGGTGGAAATCCAAACAGGACATCAGCAGAACCGAGGCTCAAATTACAAATTAAGTGAAGTTACGTAAGAAAATTGCATATTATTTCCTGCACATCTCTGTTCATGGGCTGAAATGTATACCAGTTATAAGTGGCAACCCATCTGGATCTTTCTGATTCCAATCTAAAATTAGAGACACCTCATTTGGGGCAGTGGACCCCATCCAGTGGGACTATTAGTTAACAAGTATGAGGGGACTTCCAGAAGTCACTGCATTAAAAAAGCATTAGAAATACCCAGAGGACCAAAGTGGGCCCAAATTTGAAAGGGCACTGCAGACTGTCACCAGACAGAAGGAAAATGAAGATAGGGTAAATGTGGCCTTGTAAAAAAACTAAATCTCCCAGTTTTTTAAAGAATTCCTGAATAAAAAGGGCCAAAGAGCAAATTTTCTGTGGTAGAAATTTTCAGACTAGAGATAATTATAAAATAGGAATGCAGCTTCATGTTCACATAATCCAGTTTCAAGAGTTATCAATATCCTGCCATTCTTGTTCCATCTACCATACACATACTTTTAGTCTTTTGTTCATTTCTTTTTATTTAGGTGTTTGATTCAGAGAAGTGGGGGACTTGGCTGTATGTTAAAGCAAATTCCAGACATTATGTCATTTCTTCTTGAATGCAGCAGTATGTACCTCCAAAGATATGAACTTTTAAAACATAAGAGAAATATCATTATCTCACCAAACAAATTTAACCATAATTCTTTTATATAATTTGATAACCAAGCCATACTCAATTTCTTCCAACTGTGCTAAAATATCTTTGTATAACTGTGTTGTGGAGATCAAGATCCAAACAAAGCCCACATATTGTGATTGGTTGATATATCATTTAGTCTACAACAGTTCTCTCTCCCTTTTTATGGCATTTACCTGTCAAAAAAAAAACTAAGTACTTTATCTTCTAGAATTTTCCACAGTTTGGAAATGGTTAATTGTATTCTTGTGATATTATCTAAGATGTTCCCCTATCAGCTGTACTGCCTTGTAAACAGGTACTTTGGTCTAGAGAACTGATTAGATTTAGATTCAGGGACATGTGAAGCTTGGAGAGTTTTGCATGAGAAATTATATTTTAGAAGACCAATCTGGTAATTGTGTGGAGAATAGACTTTTAGAAGGCAAAGGTAGAATTATAGAATTATATTGCCTATTGCAATAATCCAGGAGAGGTTTGGATCACAATGTTAGTTGTGAAAATAATGGATAATGGTCATCCTCTGGATGTATTTTGAAGGAAGAGACAACAGAATTTGCTGAAAGGTCAGATGTTTTCCAGAAGCTAGGCTTCTAGACTCCTTTATCTGGTACCCCACCAAATAAGCCCATTCTACATCTACCCCTGAAGTCGTAGCCTGGGGAACATGTGAGAACACTCGATCAAAGGAGCCTCCTCTTAAAGAGACAAAGATGACTGCTTGTTCCTCCCTCAGATCTCCCCCTCTGGCTTTCCTCTGTTACTCTGACTTCCCCCCACCACAAATTTCATCATCAAAATTACACATCATGACCAATTACACACCATGACCAAATGTTTAAAGAAGAATTAACATTAATTCTACACAATCTTTTCCAGAAAAAAGGGCACAGAGATGATTTCTCAATTCATTTTATGAAGCTAATAATACACTGATACCAAATCAGACAAAGATAGCACCAAAAAAGATCCTTGAAAAGTCGGGGAATAAATGTCCACCAGGTGACCAAATATGACATATGAGTAGGAGTCCCAGTCCCAGAAGATACACCCCAAATTTCTTAATTTTATTACCTCTGAGTTGTGAAGGAAAATGAGAGAAACAGGTGTAGAAGATAATGAAAGAGAACTCTACTCTGTATATTTCATACTCTGGATTGTTAGAATTCTATAACAAAAATGTACCAACATATAACTGTGTAATTAAGAATATACACATATTAAGAACAAACGAGGGAATCTGACACTCCTAGCAAACTGACAACATCAAGAATGAAGCAGAAGATACCCTTATAGACCACACAGTCATTAAAAAAAAAGAAAAAAAAAAGATAGCAAGGGAACCCTACAAACAACTCTATGGACATGAATTTGACAACTTCGATGAAATGAACAAATTCCTCAAAAAACACAAAAACACAAACTGCTACAACTTACCCAATATAAAATAAGTAAATTACATGCCCTATAACTATAAAGGAAATTGAATTTGTATGTTAAACTCCCAAAAAAAGAAATCTCCATGACTACATGGTTTCACTGGACAATTCTGTCAAATGTTTAAAGAAAGAATTAACATTAATTCTATACAATCTCTTCCAGAAAAAAAGAAACAGAGATAATTTCTTCATTCATTTTATGAAGCTAGTAAAACCCTGATACCAAATCAGACAAAGATAGCACAGAAAAGAAAACTATACCAATATTTGTAATAAATACAGACACAAAAATTTGTAATAAAAGATTAGAAAATAGAATTCAGCAATATGCATAAAGAATTACACAGCATGACCAAGTGGGGTCTATTCCAAGGATACAAGACTGATTCAACATTCAAAATTCAATCAATATAATCCACTATATTTATAGGCTGAAAAAGAAAAACTACATAGGCTAAAGAAGAAAAGAAAATCAACTGATGCAAAAAAATTTTTAAGCATTTTTAAATATTCATTATAGCTGAGTTGGTGTGGTACTTCTATAGTCCCAGTTACTGGGGAGGCTGAGGTGAGAGGATCACTTATGCCCAAGAGTTTGAGGCCATCCTGACAGCAAAGCAACACCCCATATCTTTTCTTTTTTAAAAAAAAGTTGTTCTTATAAAAATAGGAATACAGAGGAACTTTCACAACTCAGTAGAGAGAATCTGCATAAAGGCTACAGCTAACATTGATGGTAAAACTGAATGTTTTTCTCCTAATAACTGGAACATAGTCTGTCTACTTTCAATGTTCTTAATAATAATCCTCTTAGCATGAAACTGGATATTCAAGCCAGTGCAAAGTTCACAAAAGAAAAACAAGGTTACAGAAATAAAAAGTGAAAGAAATAAAGCTTCCTATTTCCAGGCGACATGATTGTGTAGAAAATCCCAGAAAATCTACAGAAAGAAGAGGAGGAGGAGGAGGAAGAGGAGAAAAAACGGTAGAGAATGAAGAAAAAGAAAAAAAGAGAGAGATAACTTCTATAAGTGAATTCAGCAAGGTTACAGAGTAAAAGATAAAATTACACCAGTTGTATTTGATATATTAGCAACAGACACATGAACACCAAAAGTAAAACAATACCACTGGCCAAGCACAGTGGCTCATGCCTATAATTCCAGCACTTTGAGATGGAGGCAAGAGAAGCCCTTGAACCCAGGAGTTCCAGACCAGCCTAGGCAACCTAGCAAGAACCCATCTCTACAAAAAAAAAAAAAAAATTGTTCTAATTAGCTGGAGGTGGTAGCACATGGCTATGGTTCTAGCTACTTGGGAGGCTAAGCACATCAAACTTAGTCTGAACTATAAACCAAATGGACCTAATAGATATTTACAGAACATTTCTTCCAGTAGCTACAGAATACAAATTTTTTTCCTCAGCATATGGATTATTCCCAAGCACAGATAATATTTTAAGTTATCAAACATGTCTAAAAACATTCAAAAATTGAAATCATATCAAGCATCTTCTCTGATCACAATGAAATAAAGCCAGAAATCAATAACAAGGAATTTTGGAAGCTATACAAATACATAAAAATTAAACATATGCTCCTGAGTGACCAGTGGGTCAATGAAGAAATTAAGAAAAAGATTGAAAAAAATTTTTAAGCAAATGATAATGGAAACACAACACAGCAAAAGCAGTTCTAAGAGAGAAGTTTATACCTACAAGTGCCTACATAAA